ATGGACAGTTTTCCTTTGGATCTTTGGGTCTTCATTCTGAAGACTCCTGTGTCGTGTAAAACTCTGATTACATAAATATGTTGTGTTTTCATGTTAACCTGTCTTTTGTTAAAGGAGTGTCAGCTGTGACCATTATGATGGGTGAGAAAAGACATCATGCCCTTTACCCACTACAGTGATATACATATCACGTGATATGTCTTCTGAATTTTCTAATAGCTTTATTGAGATACACTTAACATACCATAGTTAAGGTATACAGCTCAATGTTTTTTTTAGTATATTTACAGAGTCGTTAAATCATCACCAAAATCTAATTTTAGAATATTTCCATCATCCCAAGATGAAACTCTGTGCTGATTAGCAGTCACTCCCTGGCCCCTTTCTTTACCCCATCTTATCTGTGTACAGCCATTAATCTACTCTCTGTTTCTATAGATTTGCTTATTTTGCACCTTTCCATATGAATGGAGTCATGCAATATGTGGTCTTTGTGTCTGGCTTCTTTCACTCAGCATAATGTTATTGAGGTTCATCCATGTTGTCTCACGTACTAGTACTTTGTTTCTTTTTCTTGCCGAATAGTAGTCTATTGTATGGTTATATCACATTCTGTTTATCCATCCATCAGTTGGTGGACTTTTGGGTTGTTTCCACTTTTTCTTATTTGTTTTTAAAATTGACAGACAAAAATTGTATACATTTATGATGTACCATATGATGTGTCGATATGTGTTTACATTGTGGAATGATTAAATCAAGCTAATTCACATATCCATCACTTCACATGCTTATCATATTTTGTGATAACATCTGAATTTTTGTATTACATCTTTTTCTGCTATATCAGCCAAAAACCAGATTCTAAATAAATTGAGCTTAAAACCAGATGATCAAATCATTATCTCAACGGGTTAAATAATGAGTCTCACAAAATTAAGCTTATTGCTCTCAGAAGTTCTACATTATCAATAATACCTTATGCTGTTAATTGGTTTTTGTGCTGTTAATACATAAAATTAATTATTTTACAAATATTATTTTTGTTTATCATATATTTTATAAATATTTAAATTTATAAATATATTGATAAATATTTATAAATTTAAAAATAAATATTATTTTTATCATATCTTTACATATATCTTTTTGTGTATCTTTACAAGTATATGATATACTAGTACATGTACAAAGTAGTACATGTACAAAGCTTATACATGTACTACTGTACTAGTATATTATATAGTTGTAATTGGGTATCAATATGTATGCCCCAAATTTTTATCTATGGGGTACAAAATTTTAAAAAATAGACTGGAAACAGCTGTCTAATGAAATTAACAAATAATATAAAGCCTCTGTAGTCCAACAGTATCTGGCAAAGTACTAGATGAGCAGTAAGTATTTAAACTACACTGATACCGTATTAGTCCATTCTCAGGCTGATATAAGAACATACCTGAGACTGGGTAATTTATAAACGAAAGATGTTTAATTGACTCACAGTTCCTCAGGGCTAAGGAGGCCTCAGGAAACTTATAATCACAATGGAAGGGGAAGCAAACATGTCCTTCTTCACAAGGCAGCAGGAGAGAGAATGAGAGCTGAGCAAAAGGGGAAGCCCCCTATAAAACCATCAGATCTCGTGATAACTTACTCTTTATCACGAGAATAGCATTCAATTACCTCCCACCTGGGAATTATGGGAAATACAATTCCAGTTAAGATTTGGATGGACAAACAGCCAAACCATATCACTCACTAACCACCCCTGAATGCAAAGGTGGCAATTTATCTAAGTTTTGTGTGTATGTATGTTTCTCCCTTGCCATATGCATTTTGGTGAATAGTTCTGTGTGAGTATATCTGTGTATGATACAATGACCACAGAAACGTAGTACTTTGTGTTTGAGAGTGTCGTTTTTGAATTTAGACCACCTGAATCTCTATCTTAGCTCCATAATTTATTAGCTATATGACCTTGAGTAGATTGCCATCTATTCCATGTCCTAGTTTTCTTATACACAAAATTGGGACAACAGTACCTATCTACTCATAGGTTTGTGGTGAAGGTTAAATAAGTTAATATGAGCAGAGTCACTGTACCTAGGTCTGACACATGGAAAATGCTCATTGTAGTTTGGCCACCAGAGCTATAGACACATACACACACACACACACACACACACACACACACACACACACGTGGATGAGTATATCTGGATATGTTTATTTTTCTATGTCAATCTATATCTGGTCCTCAATATGTATTTATACTGAATAATAACAATAATAATGATAGCTGATACTTACTGAACATGAGTTCTAGGCATTAGTTTAAGCACTTTACATAGATTATCTTGTTCACCTTCAGAAAAAAAAATATGACATAACAACATTACATAGCATACTTTGATTATTCCCATTTTACAGATTAGAAAACTAAGGTCCAAAAAGTTTAAGTAACTTAAAACTAAATTCACACAGGTAGCATACGACAGAGCCACAAAGTCTGACTTTTTAAGCCACTACTTATCACCTCCCCATTCATTTAATAATATTATTTAATATTACTCTTATAGTCTATAGTATCATAATTTGTATGGTGCTTAGTATTTTATGAAATATTTTCAAATACATTGGGTCTCATAGCAAGCCTGTGAAATGAGAAGTGAAGTATTATTATTCTCATTTTTATAAGAAAGCAAACTGATAGAACTGAACCATGGGTGTCCTTTGGTGGAAGAGTTTCCATGTTACAAATATCCAGGGTACCTCTGTACATAAGGAGTCACAGCATGAATGAACTGAGTACCTATAACGTGTCAAGCTCAGACACTAGTGCTGGGGATATAAACTACAGACCTCCCCTGGAAGCATCATAGCCTAGGGAGAGACCAGTGTGGTAACCAAGAACCAAGAATCACGGTACACAATATGTAGTCTCTAAGGGAGACATGAAAGGAGTGTTTATGGAGCACAGAAGGAGGGGCCATCTGTGCCAGGGAGGTCTTAGAAAAGGCAAAGGGATGGGGGAGGGGGAGGCTTTCCTGGAAGAAAGAATGCATGGGTGTGAATGTGAATCCATGTTTGTGTCTATGACAGTGTGGCTAGGCATAATGAAGTATGGATCTGAGTATGTACCTGTTTATACAGGCTTACTCCTATAAGTATTAATTTTTGTGTATGCTGGCTGCTGGTGTAGAATGAGTAAGCCTGAACATAAAAGAGAATTTGTCTGGTATAACACACACCATAGCAGAATTGGACCTGCCCTGATATGCACAACCCATCATGACCCCCCAACACCAGGGGAACCAGAGATGCTGGTCCTTTCCCACTGTAGCAGCTGCCCACTCTAGAGCTATGGTGATTAGACTCACACGTTTTTTCAATTCATCAGTCTGGGTGTGTGGTGGTCTAATAGAGCCAGCCAGCTTGTATGAGTAAGGGTGGGGGAAAGAGGGAGGAGGTACAGGTATCTGTGGGTGTGCATCTGTGTGCACACTTCTGGTTGTGTGTGAATGCTTAGCATTGGCTGTTCCTAATTAGAGTGAGGAAACCTCCCTTCTCCCTTCGTCATCACCACCTTGGGGTGTTTATCCACTCACCTGTTTCCATTGCCACCTGTATGGGGCCGGCTTCTGTCTTCACTTTAACGTTCTGGGGATATCTAAAATATATCTCTGTGCTGGGGTTAGGCAGAAGCAAGGCTGGGAAGTGTTGGTGCCCTTATTTGGTGGAGGCACTCCCTCCTTTCCCCCACCCCTGCCCCATTCTGGTCCAGGAATCTCTCAAAGGAGCGAAAATGTGGGCAAAGGCAAGTAGTACTTGTGGAAGCCATGAAAAACCCGGAGGGTCACTTCCAGGGCTGGGCTGCTCCATGTGCCTCCCCTGGTGATAAAATCTGCTTTTAGGGCAAAATTAAGGAAGGCAAGTGAGGACTCCTCTCTCCACAAATGTTCCCCTAGGAACTGGGAAGGTGGGAATAAGGCTATAACGCTCTTTATTTCTTTAAGCTTGTATGAGCAAAACAAGCCCAAATAATCACAAATAATATGTAGTTGATATTAACTATGAGTATCTTTATAAAATGGCAAAATAATTGAACTAGATTTTATTTTTTATTATAAAGTATATAAATTCAGGGCCATGGGATCATGTAAGGCAAAGGCATTATGTACTGGAATACACTGGTAATTTGTGTTTACACCTTAGCACAAGCACTGCCACACAGTTAAAATATTAGCACGTTAAGATGGGCAAGAATGAAGTGCAATAATCAACACATGTAGCATGTCATATTTCAGCTTGAAAGAATAAGTGGGTGGAGAGAAAAACAAACATGTACAGAAAAGTAGAATGATCTCACATTCATGGTCCTTGAATATGTGGATTCTCTTTCTAGTTCCATCAATGGCTTAATCTAGTGAAAGCTTCTTACCATCTATTGATAAGTTAGTCTATAGCAGATCATTTCTCAAAAATATTAATATGCTTAATCAAACCTTACTGAAGTATTTTTTTAAATGTAAATGATCTCTAATAAATGTTAGCTGTTGCATGTCTAAATACTTTATGTTTATTGCAGCATCTTATATAGTATATATTTCCTTGTTCTGGACACAAATATTTTTCTAAATATTAAGGGAAAGTGATGGCTTTGTAATATGCCAGGGGAATTTTTTCATAGTCAATATATTGTTTATTTGCACTTAAATATTTCGTCAATAATCTGGAAAAGAGAAATAGCCTGACTATGGCTAGAGACTGTTTAGAGGCTAAGGTTTCTATCATGAACTGCTTTCAACTGTTATATTTTATGGCACAGATTCAGTGGGAATCTGATCTGCTAAAATATTTGGGCTGTGAAAACTCCCACACTGTGACAGATGTCAAGTCCAATTAAGTGACTCATGTCCAGGTTTCTGTCCAATAGGATTTCCCATTAAATATCAATTTAGGGGAAAAAAATTCCATCCCCCTTCCTAAGCCTTTATCTCTTCCACCATCTCCAGGCTGAATCAATTGGTACCAGGAGAGCCCAGAAGCCACACACGCATCTCTGCCTCTTTGCCCTGGCTCTCCCACCCTCTTCCCGTCTTTCTCTGCTTCCTTGTCACTGTTACTCCAGGAGACGTTTACTTTTCACCAACCTTTCTCCAAGCATCTCCAAGCCACTGACTATATATATTTTGCTACAAGGTAAAGAGAGGAGGGGGTGGGGATGGGGGATACAACCAAACCTTGAAAGACTTTGAAACTGGAAAATAGGTGTCTATTTATACAACATACAAGTAAATGAGGGAAGAGGAAGAGGCAACCTTAGCTCCGAGTTACAGTATTGTGTTCCTGGGAACTGGGGAGATATCAACTGAACAAAGCCTTATCTCAAAAAAAAAAAAAAAAAAAAAATCACTTCTGAGCAAGATCACATCTCTGTCCTGCACTTCCCAGTTTCTGCTCAGCCGTATTAAGGGAAGGAAAGGCGTCCGATAGGAGAGGAATCTTATCTTAACCATCTTTCTTATTGATTATTCGCGCTATTAGAAAGTGGAGGAATCAGCCCTTCGATGTGATTGTGTTTATCTCTGTATCTCTTTTGTTATTTTTAGAGACCTAGAAGAGGAAAAAAGGCACGAGACTTTTCAACACATCGCTTAAAAAAAATCAACAACGAATTTCTTGAAATGTTTGAGAACAATTAAAAGGAAAACGCGTTTTTAAAAAAATCTATCAACTAAGTGAACAATCATTCATATCGTCTACATCCTGAGATATTATCGTCCCTCGCTGCGGACACCAGCGAGATGACAGCTGCTTTTTCATTTTTGAATGTAATAAATATTTGCTGCTTTTAATATTTTCTGGAATCTCCCCTCGCTATTCCCTGGCATTTTAACTCTAAAGATTGGAGAACAGATTATCAAAAAGGCTTTTGCAAGGTAAGACTCCTTTAAATAATTTTTTTCAGCTTGAAATAAGTTAGATTATTCATACTGCATTTATAGATGCAGGTCATTCCATAGTTAAAGAGATAAAGCGCATACACGACATACTATTTATGAATATTTTTAAAGATCTGGAGGAGAATTTAACATGCTTTGAGGGCAACCCAGGAACTTTTTACCAGAACTACAACTATTTAGTGCTTGTTGTGATTTTCCATTACTCGTCTATTTATTTCTGCCCTTTCAAGCTGACTGTGTAGATGCAAGTTGTTCTACTCATAAACGTACCCGAGAAAAGCCCGTAGGGAGTCACAGGCAGTTCACTGGGATCATTTGTTTTTATTTTGCCGTAGAGGACCTGATTTCCTCGCAGGGAAATTAAAGCTGTGTTGGCCCAATTCGCTCCTCAGCAAGTGAGGTGCTGGGAACCGATCATGCATCCCCTTGCTTTTGTTTCTCTAGAAGCAAACGCTCCTATATGTCGCCGACGCGATTTCCCCCGCGCCGAGCGTCGCTGTGGCTGCCCACGCCAGGGCCCCGAGTTCGCAGCCGGGTCCTCACTCTCGACGCCCGGGGGACGGTGCGTGCAGCCCCCGCAGGGGCCTTTCTCCTCCTACCGCGCCCCTTCTTGAAGCCCGAATTCCCCCGAAGCCCAGCGGTTCCGAGTGGCCCCCTCCCAGAAGGCGCGCAGTCGGGGCCGATGCTCCAGGCGCCCCGGAGAAGCCTGGCCAGGTGGCGTTTCCAAGAGGGCACAGTTAGAGGAAGGCTAAGCACCGACATGCCCGGACTTGGCCAGGCCACCCGGCGACAGCTGCGGGCTACCGAGCTCCGGTTCCGGGAGCGCCCGAACTTTGCCAGCAGAGATGCAGCTCCCACCGGGACAACACGCTCGGCACCCGCTCGTCCCCGCCCGCCCCGCCCCGGACCCTTCCCTTCTCTTCCCTTTCCTCTGCATCCTCTCCTCCCTCAGCGGCCCGGCTGCCGGCATTTTCCCGCAAGGTGGTCGCCAGACTGCCGGGCGCATTGTCTGATCCCACGTCGCCGTGTCCCTAGGTCCCCTATGTGTGTGGCTGTCTGCGTGACAGATGGTGCTCCAGGAGCCTGCAAGGCCATCGGAGTCAATTTTCTTTTGAAAGGCTCCGCCACGTTTGTTTAGTCATTTCTTTATGATTTCGGAGAAGCGCGAGGGGTCCAAGAAGGCTTCCCGCCCCCAGCCGCTGGCTCTCTGCTTGCGCTCCGGGATGGAGGTTCCTGACAGCCCGCATCCCAGCGCCGGGCGCCCCCGGCGCAGCCCCAGACCAGCGCCAGGCCCTCGGGCGCCGCGGCTGCCCGGTTGCTTCGCCGGAGGCCCTCGGGGCGAGAAGCGCACTCCGCGTCACACCGCCCCCATGAAAACCCAGATGTATTCGTTGTTCGGAATCACTCGTTTGTCTGGGAAGGGGACGAAGGGAGGGAGACGGAATAGCGCGGTTGGCATTTGGCCGGAAGAGGCACAAAAACCCAGTCGCGACCCTATAGGCCTGCGGTCGTCCCCCAGGCCCCGGGCCACAGGCCCGCCGTGGCCGTCGGCAAGTCGAGTTGTCGGGTCCAGAATGCGGCCTGGGTCAACTGCGTCCCCACTGGCTCCCGCGCCATGGGGACGCGCGGGGCTCGCGCCCTCGGGCCAGATCCTCTCGGCGCCCTCCAGCGTCGCCCGCCGGCCTGCTGTGGGGAGGGGGCCCGGGCCGCGCGTCCGCTGGGAGGGCCGGTGTGGTAGGCCTCGGCCGCCATCCTTCCAGCAAAAGACCCTGATTTCTTTTACTGATTAATTTTCCGACCCCTCCTCAGCCTCCAAAATGATGCTGAGTCCGGACCAAGCCGCAGATTCGGACCATCCCAGCTCCGCGCACTCGGATCCGGAGTCCCTGGGCGGCACGGACACCAAGGTGCTGGGCAGCGTGTCGGACCTGGAGCCGGTGGAGGAGGCCGAGGGCGACGGCAAGGGCGGCAGCCGGGCCGCGCTCTACCCGCATCCGCAGCAGCTGAGCCGCGAGGAGAAGCGCCGCCGCCGGCGCGCCACCGCCAAGTACCGCTCGGCCCACGCCACCCGCGAGCGCATCCGCGTGGAAGCCTTCAACTTGGCCTTCGCCGAGCTCCGCAAATTGCTGCCCACGCTGCCCCCGGACAAGAAGCTCTCCAAGATCGAGATCCTGCGCCTGGCCATCTGCTACATCTCCTATCTCAACCATGTCCTGGACGTGTAGGGCGGGGTGCGCCGCAGGGGGCCGCCTGTCCCGGTGTCCGCGAAACGCGACGGATCCGGGTGGCCGCCGCTGGGGTGGCGGAGGCTGCGGTGGTCCAGCGAGACGGCCACCTCGAGAGACTCGGGCCGGGGAAGAAGCTCGCTACCTGTTCTCTCTGGTCAGCAGGGCAACAAGAGAAGGTTTCCGATGCAGGCAGGTGGGGTTGTCTGGCGAGCCCGGGGGCTCGCAGGGGGGATTTTTCAGGCCAGGAGAACCTCGTGGAGACACTCGAGATGAGCCACCTCTGGGGCTCCCCAAGGGTTGTTGCTTTAACCCACTGGAGACTTTGAGTTCTCCTACGTTCATCCGCCACAAATCTTAATGTGTTGAAAGAATGAGGGCAGAAGTTCAGAGTATGCAGGCTCATAACTTTAGGCTATCTGGAATTTTTCTAATGGACAAATGACCAAACACTGGGGAGGAGGAGAGAGGAGGGATCTCGCCCGTAGAGATGGAAGGCACAGAAAGGTGCGACAGGAAACTTTCCTTTCTGTTGTGAAAATAAAGATTATATTAGAATCCAAATAAACCCTGAGTATTTAGTAAGGTTAAAAAGACAAATTGAGAACAATTAGACACACTGTGTGAGGATTTGAGCTTGGTGAGATTTTATCTCCAAGATATGACACCAAGGTAGACAGGAAAATCCATATTTAAATGGAAAAATTTAATATCTGATTGCTTTTGCAGGCGAAGTGCCCCTTTATATATCCAAAAACATCTATTTGTGACCTTAAACATGTGGACCCATAGGTGCAGTTAGAAAAAGACAACCTATTTTTATTTATGTTAGAAGGAGTAGAGTATTTTTTTCAAGACATTTATTTTTCAGAGTGGTGATACTTTTACTTTGGATACTCTGTGCCAATTTATTTATAGTCAAGTGTTTACACTTTTTCCTGTGGAATAATTATGTCTAACTTTTTACGTGTTTGTTGAGATTATACTGTGGTCTTTCTTTCTGCTCTAATTATATTGCACTTATATAACAAATTTCCCACTTCTCCCTGTTTCTAAACATATTTTATATATTAAGATGTTTGTTCTTGAAAGGTTCTTTTGTTGTGAGATCAGCAACACGAGCACTTCACTATTATAGTTTTTTAAAAAGTGTGTTATTCTTATCTGTAGTTATGTCTGAGAAGTCCTTTACAAGCTGTTTATAAGGAGAGTAGCTTCTTTGTGTGTGTGATGTTTGTGCGTGTGATGAATTTAGGAAATTAAGTTATTTTCCTAAGAAAAAAAAGAAAAAGAGAATTCAGAACTACTTTCCTCTGTGACACCAAAAAGAAAAGTCTATAACCTGAAAATGTTTCATGTTCTCTGCTGTGAAACTCTTAAAACAAGGAGTGTATTTTAGAGACAAGGGAAAAAAAACCACATCTGCTATCCAAAGATTTTAGTCTTTTTCAGGGTTTTTTTGTGTCTCTGTTGCTTTATATAATGCAATATTTTGTAGTGAAAATAGATATAATCTGGTTTCTATCTGACGAGTTTTTCATATCTCATGAATGGTGCGCTGTTTTGCATATAAATAAAGGTATCAACTAAAGTCCTCTCTTTTATTTTAAGCACACTGTCTAAAAATAATGGACATGTTAGCCGAGCATGAAATATCTTAATGGACTCAATTCCTTAGAAAGAAACTGGTAAACACAACAAAATCTTAACATCAACATATTTATGTAGTGAAATATTTGATGGTCAAATTTGGACGTGGATCAGTCCCATAAATAGATGCCCTACATATGATGGTGACATAGATCATTCTACTCTCAATGAGGAAAATAAGTATAGTGTTTATATAAAATACTACTTGAATTGTGGATTCTTTGCCTCTAAAAGAAAACTTAATAACTCTCTAACCCTGCCTCTTCAAATTAGAGTTGGGAAACTGAGGCCCAAGGAGTGACCTGCACTAAGACACATAGCTATTTAATGGCAGTGAGAAGAAGATCCCTGATACGATGACTCTCAATCCTCATGGCACTTATTAAGAACAAGGTGTCTATTACTGTTGTAATACTCAAACATCTAATCAGTACACAGATTCAAGACAGGGCACCTGCAAACAATAAAAAAAAAATTGAGCCCCGGACCAACCTTGAGATACGAAGAATAACATCTGCAAAAACCTGTGGCTAGTATAAAAATGCGAAATATATTGCTTACAAACAGAAGACATAAATGACTTAAAAACTATATGTACATATGCATATATAGAATATTATGAACTGTGAGTCTATATCACACCAAGTTTCAGAGTAAATGCAGTTAGATGGATGCTAGGCCTTATGCATATAAAATGTCTGTGGGATTGCTGGTATTCTTCGCTTTTCACCCAGGTGTCTTGTTGTCAGCTTCACAGATACCTACTAGGTAGGACCTCATCCTCTCCCTTACATGAAGGTGTGTAGTAGGAAAGTACTTCCTAGTGTGTGAAAAAGAACAGCACCTTCCGTTGCCTTGTATCTGGACAATGTCCTGGTCACTAAAGCAATGGCTGGTTACTTTGTGACCTGCAAAACACATGAGCGCCTGTAGGCCTTCTCACCTCTAGGCAGTGTGGAGGGATAACTACTCCTAGTTCTTATAGCACCTCTCTATTATACAAGAGAATACTTAGCCCTGCTCCTGTGCCAAGGGTATGAAATCAACTTCTAACCTCTGGAAACCTTCCAAGTGCCTCTCTTTCCCAGTTTAGGGGCCCAACTTCCAACTGACCAACACAGTCCTCCCATTCACCTGTAGGAGGAACCTATTGATACACTCCCCTAGACAAAAGGCCCTTGCTTTGGAATTTGGACAAAGGGCAGCATCCCTTCCTAGCTACACAGTCCGTGTGATTCCAGGAGAGGATCTTCACAAAGTCATTTCAAATCTAAAGCTGCTGAACACCCTCCAAGAGAGACAAGCATGGTGGCAGTCTGCTAGACCAGAGGGTGACTGACACATCCCCTGAGTATAGCGCAGACACAGTGATTATTCTTTGAATGACGTGAGGTCTCATCCATGAGGTCTCAATTCTTCTTTGAATGACGATGGTGAGCATTCATTCTTACATTCAACCGTTGTTTATTGAGGACCCACTGTGTGCCAGGCATTGTTCTAAATGCTGAAAATAGAGTAACACATGAGACAAAGTCTACTGGAGAAAAGCAGTACACTGAAGCAAAAAAAATTAATTTTAGATAATGCTAAATGCTATGAAGAAAAATAAAGCAGGGTAAAGAATAGAGAATGGGGGCTGGACATGCTGGTGCTGGGTAGCATTTTAGAGAGGGCTGTTGGAGAAAGCCTCTCTGAGGAGATACATTGGTACCCTTGGCCCAGAGACTTAGGCCTGCTGGACCAGCTTCTACAGTTGCTGCTACTAGCGCTGCCTTTTCTTTTCTCATCCTGTTAAAATGTTCTGAGTGCTCATGCTACCAAAACAACCTGCGCAGGTCACTCACCTTTCCGCAGCTGGCCCCAACCTGTCCTTTACCTGAGCTTGGTCTTTCCCCAAACAGACCCAGAACCACATGTCTTTCTGCTGTCCCTTCACCTTCTTCTCTCTGCCTGCAGCCACTCAACAACTTGCCAGGCCATTGCTGCTCCCCAGAAAGCATAGCCCCAGCTGGCCCAGCAGACAAGGCTGCCTGTGCTGAATATTTCTCCACCCAGATGGCCTTCCCCTCACTTCTACCACTGCCCAGAAACTTCCAGAGAACAAGGGCAAAAGTACTGGGCAAAACAACCTTCCTCTTGAGGGAGAGGGGAAGAGGAGGGGCAGTGTATGACGGGATGGAATGGTAAAGGAAGGGCCAACTGAGGAGAGAGGACTGGGTAAGGAGGGAAATGAGACTGGGTGGGGGTGGGGAACTCTGGAGGGAATACCCGCTTCCCATAGGAATGCCGTTTGGGGAGGCTCCCTCCAGTGGCCCTGCCCCATGAACACATGTCACCAGACCACTATGATGAGGTGAGTAGGCAGAGCCAACCTCTGTGATGCTGTGATTTATCCATCTCTCCTCACTGCTGTCTCTGGCTGCCAGTTTTCTTACTGATGTTTGGGGTGGAGAGAATTTAGGGGGAGAAGAGGGTCAACTTAAGAGCATGCACAGCCAATACCCTTTTCCATACTTTGATGTGCTATCTCATTTATCAGTATTAGTAGTAGAAATAATAACTAATGTGGGTTGAGTGTGTACTATATGCTTACTAAAGTGCTTTGCATGCATTATCTCCTGTAATTCTCACAACCACCCAGTGAGGTAGGTACTTTTACTGTCTCCATTTAACAGATGAGGAATTTCAGGCTGAAAGAAATTAGATGGCTTGCCCAGTGCCAAGAAGCCATGTTTATCAGTTTATCAAAGTGCCTGCCCCTGCCCATCATACTCTAGAGCTGTCCTTTTATAGATGGGTAGCTGTGCCATGCACACATCTCCCCTTTGGCCCCTGCACTGCATCTCTCCGTCCGTGTGCCTAGGGAAAGCTTCGGCTCACGCGATGCCTAAGGAGTGCTGCGTCTGCAGTGCACACGGCTGCCCAACCAAGGGGACCAGTAGGGGGCAAAACCAAGCCTGTGCTCTGTATGCCAAGTCAAGCATGTGCCCTGGCTTGAAGCTGAACTATCTGGAGGAAGGGCAGCATTTTTCTACTTTGCAAGAAAACACTATAGGTTAATGGTGGCCCTGTGACAGCTCCCCCGCCAGGGCACTGTCATTCACCATCACATGGGTGAGGCTGGCTCTATCCACACTCCTCTGCATCTTCCAGACCGTTCTCACGCTGCTTCTAGACCTATCTTTAAAAATTAGTGTGCCATTCTCCTTTGTGAATGTCCATTTTATTTTTTAATAAAATTCAAGTTCCTAATCTAGGCATAGAAATGTTCCACAGTCTTGTTCCAGACCCTCACTAGTGACATCTTCAGCCACTCTCCAGAGATTAAATATTCCTGCCAAATTGGGTTTCCTCACTTCCCCAGAGAGGCCAAGTCTTTTTCTTTTATGATCTGGGCCTTTGCACTTACTTCCCCTTTACTCACAATGCTCTCCCTTAACCTATTTTTTACCCAGAAAATTCCGATGATTCCACCGTGACCCAACTCAGACCGCACGTAACCACACGTAACGTCACAGAGCTTTCCTGTTTCTTTCCGAAGCATTAGCTGCTCCGTTCTCTGAGTCCCAGATACGTACATCATTATACCTGAATTCACCTGTTTTTCCCATTTCTGTGTTTGTGACCCAAGACTCTGGAGCCAAGTTCAGGCCCTGGCTCCAATTATTCTAAGTGTATGACATTGAACATGTTACTATGTCTCCTCAAGACTCCACTTTCATCCATAAGATGGGACAATATATGCACCAATCTCAAATGCATGTTATGAGGTTTCCATGGGGTAATGTATAGTGCTTATCAGAATAGGAAAACATGGGAAGTGCTCAATAAATGTGAGCTATTTTTATTACATTTGTGTTTATGATATGCATAGGAATTAATATAGCATAAGCTAAAACCAGTTTTAATTCATTAATATATTAATGATTTGTGGTTTCCACCAACTGTATCCATCTGCATATGATATAATACTCAACAGTCAGCCAGAAATCATCCGTCTTGTAAGACAGGAAACCTAGGTAAGTTAATAGTGATCCATGGAATACACCACATGCACACATGTAGAGTTATCTACAGATCTGAAAGACCCACTTGACTCATGATAAAAGCCCAGTCTATGCCTTTTCTCTTTTACCTTGGTTTTTCTCATAGCAAGAATGCTGTGATAAGCGCTATAGCAGACTGGTCAGGAGCACCGACTCTGACAAAGCATGCCCTGTGTTCAATTCTCCACTCTCCTACTAACTGGCTGTGGCCTTGAACCAATTACTTAATTTTGTGCCTCAGTTTTTCCACCTGTAAAATAGGGAAAATATAGTACCTATCCAGTAGCATTGTTAGGAGGATTAATTAAGTTCATTCATGTAAAGTACTTAGAACACGTCTTGTGCTTGTAAAGAGCTCAATAGCGCTCACTATATTAGCATTTATGGCAGGCAACCTTTTTAACAATGAATTAAACAGTTTAATTATTCTTGAGATAATGGAGACAGAAACTGTGGGAATTTCCTGCTTCATTTCGATAAGTATTTCCAGGTCAGGAGGGAGTTCTTCATCTCCTTGCTGATCATTCCAGCAAGATATCAGAAAAAGGGAAGATTTCAGGAGCCTCTTGAATCAGGAGAAAGGTGGTGTGATTGGTAGATATGTATATGCGGGCAGGTCCTCTTAGGGTCCCCTGGGGTTAGGATGGAATAACTGAAAATAAAAGGCCACTGGAGTCAGTATTCCAGAGAGGGACAGAGGATCATTGACCAAAGACAAAGAAAAAAACTTTCTCCAGAGATGTCTCTGTAGAGCAATAGCTGGTGCATTGACAAAAAGGAACCAGGGCTGGAGATGGTTCTCTGAGGGACATGAGGTGACCTGTGCTAGAGGGTGGAGCTCTGCAAAAGGGGGTGGTGGCCTTAGTTCAGGTGGGATTCGACTTCCTGGTGAGTA